TTCGGACACGAGCTGGGAGTCGGGATCGGGGAGGATGGCAGGCAAGGGGCAAGGAGGGTGACCGAAGGGATGGTTGAAAAGGAAGGTCTTCAGACAGGTCTTGAAGGAGGCAAGGGAGAGGGCGAGGCGGAGGGACTGTGGGATGGAGTTCCAGTGGGTGTACAGTGGTTGAAGGCCCACTCGCCAAACAGAATGCCAAGATTCCGTATTGGCTCCGTTAGCTGAAGAGTGCATCCATGGAAGTGCTGTCAGCGCCCGAGGTATGGAGATGCTGACAGAAGCCAACCAGGAGGGCCTTGGAACACCTTCTACTGCAGGAAGTTAGCTCTCATCCAGGACTTGATGTCCAACAGGCAGCCTGAGAGGACAGCAGTGGGCTTGGAGTCGAGGGTGGAGGCAGAGAGATAAAATTGGGTGTCATCCGCATACATATGGAATTTGACCTCATGTCTGCGGATTATGTCACCGGGGGGGCATATACATATTTAAAAGGAGAGGGTCAAGGACAGAGCCCTGAGGAATGCCACACATAACAGTGCAGGGGCTGAAGGAGAAGCCGTTAGTGGCAACAAAGTGGAGACGGTGGGAGAGGTAGGATTCGAACCAGGCAAGGTGTTTTTTCCACGGGCATTAGGTGATAGAAGTGGGTTGAGTAGGGAAAAGGGGTACGAAGATGTTAAGGAAGATGAAGTGGTCCGAGATGGCTTTATCTGAGACGGTGAGGTCGAGGAGGTCACCGTGGACATGGGTGACGGAGTGGATGTGGAGGGAGAGTTTGTGGGACGAAAAGTCAGCAGATTTAGAGGAGGAGGGGCTGAAGTGGAGGTTGAAATGGCATAGGATGAGGAGGCTTTTGGAGCATAAGGAAAGGGAAGATAGGGCGGTGGAGATGTCGGGGAGAAATGAGGGGGAGCGTTTGGGGGGGAATAAATAAGGAGACTTTTGAGAGAAAGGTTGGAGAGGTGATAAAGGGTAAGGTGCTCAAAGGAGGGGAAGGATTCGGAGGAGTAAGGGGATAGGCTGAGTGGGGACCAGGAGATGAGAGCCACACCATCACCACGGCGGTTAGCTTGTGGGATATGATGGAAGGTGTGGCCTCTGTCAGGGAGAAGGTTGTTGCGTGGAGTGATCCAGATTTCAGTGAGGGCGAGGATGTTGATGTGTTCATTGACAATGAGGACTTGGATGATGAGCATTTTATTGGAGAGTGAGTGGACATTTTGTAGGCCAGTGCAGAGGGGACAGTTGGTGGTGGAGGAATGTTGGAGGAGAGGGGGAGGATTGACAGGGAGGGTGGGGATGTGGATGAGGGAGGAGAGGTTGGCTGTGGTCTGCCACAGTGGGCAAGATTAAGGACTCGCAGGCTGGAGCAGAGGGAGACAGTGGGGTAGTCGAGCAGCGATAGGAGTCAGGGAGGGCGGTGGGAGAGGAGGCTGAGCAGGAGTAATGAAGGGTAGAGGACAGGGGTGGGAGCATTTTGGCGAAGCATCTCGGGTCGGGGGCGGCAGCCAAAATGCGTACAGCGAAACTAAGAGCGAATGGTGGGGGGGTGGTCGGCCTGGCATGGTTAGCCCACTGGCATGGATCATCATGGGGAATGGGGGACAATGTTGTATCTCAGTGAGTCCAACTCAGAAGTTTAAAAGTAGCAGCAGATCTGACATCATACGGCAGCTGATTTCTGGTTGGATGTTCACCAGGAGAATCAGCAATGGCCGCAATGGCACTTTGCTCCAGCTGAGGTGACGAATCCAATGCTGGCTCCGCATGGCACAGGTAGGTAGATCTCGGTCCCCGCGTTGGATCTGGTGCTGCTCAACGCAACATTCGCCGGTGTGCTCTTCGGGTCTTGCTTCAAGCCCTGTTCGCGTGTAACCCACTCCAGGCGTTGATTCCAGCCTTGATTCAGGCCCCACTCACGTAATAATATCCTGTGTGAAGAAATAAAGAATTTATCAGCTAACAGTGATAATGGATGAGACGTTAAAGGACAAAGCCCTGTCTGCCTGTTCAGATGGACATTAAAGATTCCACAGCACTATTCAAAAAGAGAATGGTATCCTGGCCCACAATCCCCAAAATAAAATTAGTCCATGGCTGTTTGTGGGATAATGCTATGCACAACTTGGCTGCTGTGTTGTTGCACTTTACAATATATGCTGTGAGGCCCTTTGGGATGTCCTCCTGAAGTGAAAGTTGCAATACCAAATGTAAGGATTATTATTCCTATTTTTACATTTATCCACATTGCAGCATTTGATATTCTTCAATCATAATTCTTTCATTTTTTTGCCTCCAAACAGATTTTCACACAGCTTTGAAATATGGTTTTAAATACATTAATCCAATGACAATATTGTGTTTGAAATTTCATTTTAAAAAATTGCACATGATCTATATACTTACAATATTGTTCTCCTGTTTGCAGTACTATGACTGACCGTTAGTGTCACCATTGAGCACAGTAGTTTGCAGGTTATAAATTGATTTTCTGTGGCAATATTTAAAGACAACATAAAGTTTGTTCACACAATCTGCCTCCACTTCTCTGGGTAGTTGATTGCACACATTCACCACTCTGTGCAGCAAGTAAATCTGAACTGTCCTTGGGGACCATGTGCCATTGTTGCTGATTGTTTTGAGTTTATGAACCTGTAGCTGTCACTTGTCTGACTCAGTTGGTAGCACTCCTGGCTCTCAGTCAGAAAGTTGTGTCAGGGCTTTGAACTCAAAGACTACATTGATACTTTAGAGCAGTGCTGGGGGAGTGGGGCGCGAGGGGTTGTTGCATTGCTGGAGGTGCCATCCTTCAGCTGAGCTGTTAAAATATCTGCTTGTTCAACACAAAATGACATTTGTATAGCGCCTTTCATGTTGGGAGGACGTCCCAAGGCACTGGACAGACAGAGTTACTGTGGAGTCCTGTAGTTCAGTGGTTAGAGCACTCGCTTTGCAAGCGAGAGACCTGAGTTCAATTCCAGGCAGGACAAAACCTTGGGCAAGTTTCCTTACTCCACACGCCTAATAATAATCCCTCCAAAACCCCAAACAATAATTAAAAAAATTGGTCATTTTTAATCTACGACTGTTTGTGGGACATTGCTGTGCGCAATTGGCTGCCGCGTTCGCCCACAAATGTACAGTCAATTCACTTTACAGTGTGTTCTGTGAAGCGCTTTGGGACGTCCTCCCGACGTGAAAAGCGCTATATCAAATACAAGGATTATTATTATTATTACTGGACCCGAGCTGAGGGTCTGGGTGGGGGAGGGCAGGGGGGGAAGCAGGGAGATCGAAGCATGGTCAAAAAGGAGGGACTTAAGGTGAGTCTTGAAGGTGGCGAGGGAGAGGGTGAGATGGAGAGACTGCGAGATAGAGTTCCAGATGGTGGGGGCAGAGTGGTGGAAGGCCCACCCGCCGATAGTGGGACAAGGAAGGCAGGGGACGTGAAGCAGGCCGGAGCCCGCTGAGCGGAGGGAGCGAACAGGGTGGTAGGCGGTTAGACGGTCGGAGAGGTAGGGGGGAGCTAGACCGTGGAGGGCTTTGAAGGTGAGGACCAGAATCTTGAATTGTATCCTTTGTGTGATGGGAAGCCAGTGGAGTTGGGCAAGGATGGGGGTGATAGGGTCATGGAGCCTAGTGCGGGAGAGGACACGGGCTGCAGAGTTCTAGATGATCTGCAGTCTATGGAGGGAGGAGTTGGGGAGGCCGACAAGCAGTGAGTTTGCATAGTCGAGCCTCGAAAGCGTGTATGAGGGTTTCGGTGGCCTTCAATGTGAGATAGTGTCGGAGCCGGCCGACGTTGCGGAGGTGGTGGAAGGCAGAGCGGGTCATGGCGCAGATGTGGGATAGAAAGAATAGTTGGAAGGTCAAACAAGACCCCAAGGTTCTAGACTGGCTTAGCAAGGTGGAATTTGCAACCATGGATGGTGATGCTGTCAGTGCCTGAGGTGAGGAGGCGCTGGGGAGGGGAGGGCAATCAGGAGAGCCTCGGTCTTGTTAACGATCAACTGAAGAAAGTTAGCTCTGATCCAGGACTTGATGTCTGACAGACCTTCTGTCAGCACAGCAGTGATCCTCGAGTCAAGGATGGAGGCAGAGAGATAGAGTTGGGTGTCATCCGCATACATGTGGAAGTTGACCCCATGTCTGGGGATGATGTCACCAAGAGGGAGCATATAAATATTGAAGAGGAGGGGACCAAGGACAGAGCCCTGAGGAACGCTGCACGAGACGGTCTGGGGGCTAGAGGAGAAGCCGTTTGTGGAGATGAAGTGCAGACGGTGTGAGAGATACGATCTGAACCAATCAAGGACAGCGCCGTGGAGGTTGATGTGAGAGGAGAGGCGGTGGATGAGGATAGAGTGGTCCACGGTGTCGAAGGCAGCAGAGAGGTCAAGGAGGGAGCCCTGGTCGCAGATGGACAGAATGTCATTTGTCACTTTAACCAGGGTGGTTTCTGTGCTGTGGGTGGCACAGAAACCCGATTGGAGGGGATCGAGAAGGGAGAGGAAGGAGCGAAGCTGAGAAGCAACAACCCGTTCCAGGACCTTGGAGAGGAAAGGGAGGTTGTAGATGGGGCAGTAGTTTGGGAATAGAAAAGGATGCAGGGAGGGTTTTTTAACGATAGGATTGATGACAGCGTTTTTTAAAGGGGTGGGAACAGTACCAGAGAACAGGGGGAGGTTAATAATGTCAGTGAGTAGAGGGGCAAGGAGTTCAAATGGTCAAAGATCATGTGGCACTGAAAAGAGAAGGGAGTTTCTCGCGGTGTCCTGGCTAGCGTTCTTCACTAAACTTGGTTATTTGCTCCGTGGCTTTTGTGGGGCATTACTACGTGTAAATGGAATTGTAAATGGGCTGCATTCTTCTAGAAATACACAGAAACTCCACAATAAATCCTGTGAAGCACTTTGAATGTTCCCCCAACATGAAAGGCGCTTTACCAAATTAATTATTATAGATAATAATAATAACTGCATGTTATGTTTTATTTGCAGACGCTGATGTCTCAGAGTTGCTGAAGGGAAGCGAGGAGTCTGAAAGCCTGCTGGACACGGGTGATGCAGGGGAAGAATCGGACTCACTCCCAGAGCTGCTGCTCCCTTTCACCTGCCAGCAGTGTGGCATGGTGCTGGATGACTGCGGGCAGGAGGAGGAGGGAGTGGTGGGGCCCCTGTGCCCTAGATGTACGTTCGATGGCTTGACACACGAAGAGGACAGGGGAAGAGGAGACAGAGGAGAGATCAGTCCAGGTAAAGGGGACAAGATCTACCCTTGCAAGCTCTGTCCTTTCACCTCGCAGTACCCCAATCACCTGGTGAGGCACATGAAGACTCACAGCGGGGAGAAGCCCTACAAGTGCACTCACTGCCACTACGCCTCCGCTCACCTGGATAACCTCAAGAGGCATGTGCGCATTCACACTGGCGAGAAGCCTTTCAAGTGTGATCGCTGCGACTATGCTTGCGGTAACATGGCTAACCTGAAGCGACACGAGCGTATCCACTCAGGACACAAGCCTTTCAAGTGTGACCTCTGTGACTACAGCTGTAATCAGAGCATGAACCTGAAACGCCACATGCTCCGGCACACGGGGGAGAAGCCCTTTCAATGCCCTGAGTGTGAGTACACCACCGGCCACTGGGACAACTACAAGAGGCACCAGAAGACTCATGGCCACACACTGGACGGCTGGGCGAACCCAAGGAGGATCACTCGCAGCAATGTCGAGAGTCAGACGTGAGGGGGGGGGGAGGGGGAGAGAGGGGCAGGTATAAGTTAATGAGTTCCTCAAGATGTAATACAAGGCTGACCAGCATTCCTCAGAATGAAGTTAGTGTTTTAATCCAACCAAAATGATATTGATAAGTTCTTATATCATACATACAACCGGGGACGTGTAGTTCAGATTCAAAGGTGATCCAATCCTTCCTCCGGGAGAGAACGTAGACCGCTTTGTGTACATCAATCTGCCCTCTTTCTGCTTTTGGTTCCGTATCTTCCTCTCTTCTCTCTGTGTTTCTGAGTCGCTTACACAGACACTCACTCCGTCCCTGTATAAAATCGCAGTCGTTTCTCTCTGCTTCATACTACCTACACACACTCTCCTTCACATGCGGTCGCCTGACTCCCTGCGACTACACTGTGCCAGCCCCTCATCAGGTGTCACCAGTGGTTTCACTGAAACCACTCCTCACCAGCTCATGCTGATTCTTTCTTTGCAATAAAGTCATTCTCACGGAAACCAGAGGGTGTCATGGCTGCAGCCACACTCTTTTTGCTAGGATACAGTAAGGATGATCGATCACCAAGCACACCTAGTGTAAAATCATCAGCTTACAATCCCCCACCTTAGCTGCTGTTGGGCTTATGTACCATTGTCTACAGGAGCTGCACAACGATAATCCTCAGAAAGTGCATGAACTTTAAAACATTAACGTATTCATTAATGTATCTTCCTCAAAGCCGTTACAGGGACTGTCGTACATCTTTTGGCGAACCTTAATTCTGTGTTTTTAGTATTGACCATTTGCCACACATACTTATCAAAGTCCAGATGTGCATTAAATCATCAGTTTACTGACGATGAATTTTCTTTCTTCAGCAGTTTCCATTTGTTCGGTCACCATTCTCAAACCCAGAGGATGTCTTTTCACACCACTTTGAATCCTGTAAAATATATTTTCTGAATAATTGTTTCAATTGAATCTTTTCCATTATTGATACCCCTTGCTTTCCTAACCTAACTTTCCTGTTGATTCTCTTTATCATGGCACACCAACAACATATAACACACAAAATTAGAATAATAACAGACTGTATCGTAAAACTATCTTCAGTATACATACACTTCAATTTTATTAACTACCGGTAATTACACTGTAAAAGTAATATAAAACAAATCAGAATATTTACATGAACCATTAGTCATTTTATCGCTACACTTATGCAACCCTGGGTGTAAGATAACATACCCAAATTACGCAAGGGTTTTGGTATATTATCCTCACATTCTATCTTTTCATTCTTTTAGTTTGCGTAACATGTGCTCCAGAAACATGGCTAAAGGTATATTATAATTTTCCTGTGTGTACCTAATCCTGTCTCGTGAACCATATCTCCATTCATGTTCTGTTTTGTTCCCTAATCTTTTCACTTTAACTGCTGTCACCTGTTGCCTGTTGTGTTTCTTTCTCCTTTTAACATTTGGTGATTGTCATTGTCCCGACACTCGGGCTTCACCACACCTGACACATACTGAACATGTTTCCAATGTCCATGTTGAGGTCCTCTGTATGGGTATTGGCTGCTGTTGTGGAATAGACAGCTGACTGGGTTGTTCTTGTCTGCTGGTCTTCCCTCTAGACGGTTGAGCTAGAATGAAAGGCGAAGATTGCCGTTGCGGCTGGGAGGGTTGGGAGGGAAAGGGTAAGTCATCCCAGAAGAAGTCACTACATGGGAGGCGGCGAGGGAGATCATCATTAGGCACACAAGGGACCACCACAAATGCCATGGGTTGGGATGAGCCATTTTTGTTGGTACCTGTAGGGACTGAAAACAACAACAAACAACAACAATATTACATTTATAGAGCGCCTTTCATGTCAGGGGGATCTCCCAAGGTGCTGGACAGTCAGGGGTCAGGACCCGAGCATGGGGGAGGTATGGGGTAGGGGTGAGGGAAGGCAGAGAGGTGGGAGGGCGACTGAAGGCACGATCGAAGAGAAGAGTCTTGAGACCAGCCTTGAAGGAGGCAAGGGAGAAGCGAGGCGAAGGGACCGTGGGATGGAGTTCCAGAGTGTGGGGGCAGAGAGGCTGAAATTCCGGCCATCGATTGTAGGGCGGGTCGGGCGGGAGACATGGAGCAGGCTGCAGACCGCTGAACGGAGGGAGCGAGCAGGTTGGTAGGGAGTCAGCAGGTCAGAGAGGTAGGAGGGGGCAAGGCCATGGATGGCCTTGAAAGTGAGGACGAGGATCTTGAATTCGATCTTCTGAGGGATGGGGAGCCAGTGGAGTCGGGCGAGGGTGGGCGTGATGGGGTCACAGAGCCTGGTGTGTGAGAGTACACGAGCTGCAGAGTTTTGGATGATCTGCAGCTTGTGAAGGGAAGAGTTGGGAAGGCCGATGAAGAAGGAGTTTCCATAATCGAGCCCTGATGTGCCGAATGCATGGCTGAGGGCTTCGGCAGCCTGAGGGGTGAGGCAGTGGCGGAATCTGGCAATGTTGTGGAGATGGTGGTAGGCAGTGCCGGCCATGGCGCAGATGTGGGGGGAAAGGACAGTTCACGGTCAAACAAGACACCCAGGTTCCTGACTGGTTAGTGAGGTTGAGTGTGTAGCCGTGGAGGTTGATGCTGCCAGCGCCTGAGGTGCAGAGGTGCTAGCGCGAGCCAATCAGGAAGGCCTCGGTCTTGCTGACGTTCAGTTGGAGAAGGATGTCCCTCGTCTAGGACTTGATGTCGGACAGGCAGTCGGTCAGGATGCCAGTAGTCCTGGAGTTGAGGGTGGAGGCAGAGAGAAAGTTGGGTGTTAACCACATCCATGTTGAAATCTACTCTGTGGATGATGTCACCAAGGGGAAGCATGTAGGGGGTGAAGAGGAGGGGACCAAGGACAGAGCCCTGAGGAACGCCACACGAGACGGTGCGGGGGCTGGAGGAGAAGCCGTTTCCAGGGACGAAGTGGAGGCGGTATGAAAGGTAGGACCTGAACCAGTCAAGCACAGAACCTTGAAGGTTGAGGTGGAGGAGAGGCGGTGGAGGAGGATTAAATGGTCTACAGTTTCAAAGGTGGCGGCGAGGTCGAGGAGGATGAGGAGGCAGAGGGAGCCCTGTTCACACATAGTCAGGATGGGGGCAGCACGGAAACCCAATTGGAGGGACTCATGGAGGGAGTGGGAGGAGAGGAAAGAGTGAAGCTGGGAGGCAACGGCTCTCTTAAGGACCTTAGACAGAAAAGGGAGGTGGGAGTTGGACCGATAACTGGATAGCTGTGATGGGTCAAGGGAAGGTTTCTTCAAGGTGGGGTGGTAGTGGCTGTTTTGAAGGGTGTGAGAACAGTGCCAGATGACAGGGAGAGGTTCATGATGTCAGTGAGTTGTGGGGCAAGGAGGTGGAGCTGGGATTTAAGGAGAGGGGTGGGGAGGGGGTCCAGGGAGCAGGTGGTGATGACAGAGGAGGGAGTGACAGGTTCAAAGGTGTGGAAATAGGGATGGGTAGTGGTCGGAGTGTGGGGGGTGGGTAGGGAGGGGTTGGAAGTTGGGAGGGCAGTGGCAGCTGAGCGGATTCCCTCGATTTTGGACTCGAGGAAGTTCAGCATTTCCTTGCAGTGAGAGTCAGACGAAAGAATCTGCGAGGCATGGCAGGGAGGGTGGGGGAGCCAGTTGGTGGTGGAGAACAGAAGCCTGGGGTAGCCCTTCACCTCCAGGATTAACCTGGAGTAGAAGGACGATTTGGCTGAGGCGAGAGCGGTAGGTTTTGATGTGATCCAGCCAGATGTGCTGGTGGACTGAATCACAAGGTGAAGGCTCTTGTGCTTTAAACAGTTTTAGTTGGTTAATGTGATGTCAGTAAAGTTTGCGATTGCCACATGAGGTGGGAATAGAAATCTAATAAACTGCAGGACTGACTCAATTAACAATGTGAAAGGGACCAGGATATTTAGCACCAGATTGACCCACTGAATTATGAACTTTAAGTAATACCTTTTGTCCCATTTCCCATTGTTCTTCACAAACATTTTGGTCAAAAATCATCTTATTAGACTTTTTGTATGCTACGATATTAAGTGCAACATGTTTATGAACTTCTTGTAGATGAGACGCTAATGAGCACACATAATTTTCCTGCGTGGTAGCCTGAATTTCAGGTGCTGACAATTCATTTGTCCACAAATGTTCAGGCATTTTAAGAATGTGGCCAGTCATTACTTTGACGGTTCTACACGCCTATATGTTCACCCACGATATGGCTCGCTCCCCCTCACAGAGTGTACTGGGTGACCTCTGTGTTCAATCCTCACTAAGGAATGCAAGTCCCTATAACTAGGTGTAACTTGACTAATGAGTTCTTTCACGATGACAGGTACAACCAATTGCTATTTAAATTAAAGTGAATTGAACCTTCTGTCCTTAGTCTTTTATTCTAAACAGACTGTGACGAGCGCTCAACCTGTTTGTGTATTCCCACCTCCTTTGATTTATACAGAAAGCTCGAGAAAACACGGCCAAATAACCTGGACAGAATTTTATTGTAGTTTTGATGAAATCCACAACCCTAGCCATTAAATCTTAAACGACATGATAAATATCAACAAACATAACTATGAAATAACAAACACTAATCATATTTAAACTAAACACGCTAGCAGCCACTTGTAATGATGTTAATGTAAAGTACACGAAAAACAATCGCTGACTACTACTCATCAATAGTCAGGGCACATACCTTTTAATGTCATCAGGTAGAAAATGGCACATGGTGGTTGTTCTTTTACGGGCATTAAGTCACTCCCTGAATTAGGGTACCCAATGCTAAGTTTGCTTTTTATGGTCCAATCAAAATCATCCTTTAAGTGACTCAATAGGGAAACGGTGCAGAAATTATAGTCAGTTACCCTGCCAAATTGTTGCAATCAACAACAACTTGTACTTACATAGCACCATCCACGCAGGATAGCATCTCAGAGTGCTTAACAGTGGAGGAGCCTGACTCCGAACTTGGGGGTGGGGGTGGAGGTGGTCGAAGAGGAATGGTCGAAGAGGAAAGCATGGTCGAAGAGGAAGGTTTTCAGGACTTGAAAAAGGGGAGAAAGGGGACAAGGTGGAGGGATTGAGGGAGAGTGTTCCAGAGTTTCAGGGCATAGTGGCTGAAAGCACGATCTGCGATGGTGGGGCGGAGGGTGCAAGGGACGGGTAAGAGGCTAATCACTAGAGTCAGACTCGATGGCACCTTAGTATCTCAAACAATTTGAAATACATAAAATATGCATTTAAAGGGCTTACTCAGACTGGCTAATGATTTTAGTCAACACATACACTTTACAGAACACATCACAAACAAGACAGGCATCGAAAACAAAGGGGTGACTACAACAACTTCATAGAGCGAAATCCCAGTAGTTCACTGCTTTCATGTTTGATCATGGTTCATGTTGTGTCTGGTGATCTTTAGGCTGATGAATTTCATTGTCCAATTGTTGTCGTTATTCAGACAATGGATAAAACCGAAGATCTGCTCAAAGATTCCCAGGCAAATCAACTCTCTGTGAATGGTGCCAGCCACTGCTATGATAACTAACCCGTGAGGCGAATGGATGCATTTTAGCTGTCGCCCCTGAGGTTGGGATTGAGGAATAAGTGCTCATCCTTTGTCAGGGCTAGTAAATGTAAGCTGACTATCGCTGCATCAGGATAAGCCTCCATTTGCTCCTCAGAGGCTCTGTAAGCAAATTTCAGTTCGGAGTCTTCCCAAAAGTGCTGGGGGCCCTATTCTTTTGGTTGTTCTCCAAGCAAAGGGTTCTGCGAATTAAGCCGCTGGTAAAACCAATGGCAGAAATGTCCCATAACTTGGTCCCATCTTACCACTCTACCCTTGTCTCTACTAAATCGTCTTTCTACTCCAGTGTCCTGGTAAAACGAATAACTAGGGAGGTAGAT